CCAGAAAGAAGACTATCTGTCCTCTCTTGCTGTGTCCCTCGCTTGCGCTGATCTCATTAGATTTGCTTGCATTAAAGCTCGTGCAGTGAAAGTGCCGCTGCTAATGTCTGCCTCAGAACAAGCAGATGGGAGAATCACGAGCCCACATCCCAGTGGGATTAGACAATCCAAAGCACTTCACATGCTACAGCTAAGACAGCTTGGCTGTGGTGGAGGGAGAAGGCCAGGGAAGAAGGGGAAAAGTAGAGACTGGGGGGAAGCAAAATCTTAGTAACCACCAAACTGCAGGCAGGATGCTTGAGGTCAAGAGTGTGTATATAACATGGAGGTTGATGCCCAGTAGTGGATGTGGACTAACCATGCATTCAAAATGATTGTTTACAAAGTTATTGTACTACCAACCTTACTGTACACTTTTGAAACATGGACCACTTATAAACACCATCTCCAACTCCTTGAAAAATTCCACCAATGGTGTCTCCGAAAATTTTTGCATATGACATGGGAAGACAGGCAAACTGATGCCAGTGTTCTGGAAGAAGCAAAGATCACTAGTGTTGAAGCAATGATCCTTCAACATCAACTTCATTGAGGTATAAGGTAAAGGGACCCCTGACCATTAGGTCCAGTCATGTCCGACCCTGGGCTTGCAGTGCTCATCTCGCTTTATTGGTCGAGGGAGCCGGCATACAGCTTCCGGGTCATGTGGCTAGCATGACTAAGCCGCTTCTGGCAAACCAGAGCAGCGCACGGAAACGCCGTTTACCTTCCCGCCGGAGCAGTACCTATTTATCTACTTGCACTTTGGCGTGCTTTCGAACTGCTAGGTTGGCAGGAGCAGGGACTGAGCAACAGGAGCTCACCCCATCGCGGGGATTCGAACCGCCGACCTTCTGATTGGCAAGTCCTAGGCTCTGTGGTTTAACCCACAGTGCCACCCGCGTTCCATTCGTTGAGGCATACAACTGCTCTATTCCAAACATGAAAATGGAAAGTGTAACGCTGGTGATCAACAGAAGAAGTTTAAAGGCTCTCTCAAGGCAAATCTTTAAAAATGTAGTATAAACACTGAGAGTTGGGAAACACGGGCCTGCGAGCGCTCCAATTGGAGAACCGCCTTTACCAAAGGTGTCATGGACTTTGAAGGCGCTCAAACTCAGGATGAAAGGGAGAAACATGCTAAGTGGAAGGTACATTTGGCAAACCCTCACCGTGATCAACTCCCACCCGGAAATCTATGTCCCCACTGTAGAAGGACGTGCGGATCCAGAAGTGGCCTCCACAGTCACCTATGAACACACCGCTAAGCCCACGCTCATGGAAAACAATCTTACTCGGCTACGAGTGATCACTAAAGAAGAAGAAGCATTCAAATAATCATACAGGCCAATTGCTAGGTGGCTGGCCATAATGATTGATCTCTCATCCCTGCTCTCCCTATTTTTGCTCTGGCAAACTTGCAAAATACCAAATCAATGACCCTCTGCTCTGCTTGGACTCTAAAGCTGATCTAGCCAAGATACAATAAGATACAATTGAGCGCTTCCACTGGTCTCTCTGTGGCACCCGTTTGGGAAGAATAGGTAATGATTTGCATCTTTCCCCCTCTTTAAACCTATTTTTCAAGGCTTTTCCTAAGACCTACTGCAATTTTCCCTTCCCTCCACCGGCACCCCAGGCCCCTGGGTCCTACGCCACCTGGGAGGGGAGATCTGGTCATATAGAATGTCTCCTAAAAAATATCTTCCTTCTGTTAAAGTTTCTCAAACTCCAATGCCTCAGAAGCCTTATTCTTGGTAATCCATGAAAACCTGTGCATATTTACTCTTTTTTCAAAGTACTACTGAGCTACTGTTCAGTATTATATTTAAGTGTTGTATTTCTGTTGGAAACCATGGCTAGTTGGCTGAAAGTCCACTATTTTGGCTTACGGAGAAAGAAAATGTGAGGGCAATCAAAACACGCTGCAGCCTAAGGAGGTTCATTTAAGTTGGGGGAGGTTGGGGGGAATTATGGACCTCAGAAATACACAGCATGAGCATGTGCAGAGTGCAGCTGCTTGACCAGTGAGGAATCCCTGTATTTAATAAGATGATTTCTCAACAGCTAAAATATAACCCACCCCTCCCTATCATTCTCATTCACGTGATGGATAGAATCACTGCCTTTCATTTACTAGGCTAAAAAGCAGACAGGTTTTTTTGAGGAGTGGGGGCGGGGGTGGGACAAGCAGTCATCACTTTAATGTTAAGGAAATCCATTCTGTATTTTATGTGCTCCGATTTACCAGAGCCGAGAGCAGCTCCAGTCCATGTTTTACAAAAAGCTGAGCAGCCTGAAGCAGCTGAAGGAATAGATTGCTGGTGGCTGTGTTTTTTCCCTATGCCTAATATGTGTTCCACTTTATTCTAAATAAGGTGATTTGGTCATCAACCTCCACTTAAAGAGTAAATCCTACCATCACCACACTATTAACAACAATTGAGCGCTGCACTCAGTCGTTCCAGCAGCAATCGGTACACTTCCTTACACGGTAAATGGCCCCAGGTCGAGGCTATAAGCGAACAGCCCCCTCCGGAGACTATGTTTTACATGACATTTCTGTTTCAGTTCCAGCCTTTAAAACACCCCACAATTTAACTGGAGCTTTCATTACTCCAAAGTTACAGCTTACTAACTGAGAAATCTTATTTCTTTTTAGGGCATTTGTTGTTGTTGTTGTTTAGTCGTGTCCGACTCTTCGTGACCCCATGGACCAAAGCACGCCAGGCCCTCCTGTCTTCCACTGCCTCCCGCAATTTGGTCAAACTCATGCTGGTAGCTTCGAGAACACTGTCCAACCATCTCGTCCTCTGTCATCCCCGTCTCCTTGTGCCCTCCATCTTTCCCAACATCAGGGTCTTTTCCAGGGAGTCTTCTCTTCTCACGAGGTGGCCAAAGTATTGGAGCCTCAGCTTCAGGATCTGTCCTTCCAGTGAGCACTCAGGGCTGATTTCCTTCAGAATGGATAGTGCATAAAATTCATCCTTAAGAATTTTAGTGCATTTACATGCCACCTTTCCTGCCCACGTTTCTCTTCCTTCCCATTTTAGTCTCAGAACTACCCTCAGAGGTAGGCTAGGCTGAGAGACTGTGACTGGCCCAAGGTCACCCAAGTGAGGTTCGTGGCTGAAGTGGGCATTTGAACCCCGTTTGCCCAGGCCCTAATCCAGGAGTCGGCTAGGTTTAACTGCCATGGGCCAGATCACTCCCACGGAGATTGTCTGTGGGCTGGACTGGCGAGGTGTTACGCCGAAAATCGCGTCTGCACATGTCCGTGGCACTGGAAATTGCTTCTGCACATGCCCAGATGCTGAAAATTGCACCTGCACAGAAGCAATTTCCGGCGTCTGGATATGCGCAGATGCGATTTCCGGTATCTGCGCATGCGCAGATGCGAATTTCCGGCGTCGCCCAGCAAGTCCCTGCACTGTGCTGTGCTGGTTTAGTGCAGCGCATGGGGGATTCGTCGAGCGGGCGGTTCGGTTTAGGGGCGGCTTGTGGGCCGGTAAAACGGTCTTCGTGGGCCACATCTGGCCCATGGACCGCACGCTGCCGACCCCTGCCCTAGTCAGACACTAACCAGTATTTCTCAAACTTGGTTCTCTAGCTGGTTTTGAACTACAATTCCCATCATCCCTGACCACTGATTCTGCAAACTGGGGGTGATGGGAGTTGTAGTCCAACAGCAGCTGGAGACCCAAGTTTGAGAAACACTGCATCTGCCTAATACAAGAGGGACGCGGGTGGCGCTGTGGGTAAAAACCTCAGCGCCTAGTACTTGCCGATCGCATGGTCGGCGGTTCGAATCCCCGTGGCGGGGTGCGCTCCCGTCGTTCAGTCCCAGTGCCTGCCAACCTAGCAGTTCGAAAGCACCTCCGGGTGCAAGTAGATAAATAGGGACCGCTTACCAGCGGGAAGGTAAACGGCGTTCCGTGTGCTGCGCTGGCTCGCCAGATGCAGCTTGTCACGCTGGCCACTTGACCCGGAAGTGTCTGCAGACAGCGCTGGCTCCCGGCTTATAGAGTGAGATGAGCGCACAACCCTAGAGTCTGGCAAGACTGGCCCCTACGGGCAGGGGTACCTTTACCTTTACCTTTTACCTAATACAAGATAGCCAAGAAAACTACTATCCTCACCATTCAGCATTTCTTTTCTATTATTTTCACAAGCTTTATTTATTAAACATAAGGCAAGAAAAACAACAGTGTTCAGCATGCAAATCCGCATTTAAGATTATGAGAAAGGAGGAGGGAGGATAACCTGCAAAGTGCTATTTCTCAGGAGTCTGCAGTTCAAAATGTAGATTTTTTTCACATCCCTCCCCCAACCCATCCCAGATGGATGGGAGGGACCTCCTGGCCACAGCAATATTGTTCTGAATGGGGATTGGCTGGATTGTGCAGAGAGCTGATTGGTCAGAGAATGGAAGATTGACAGAACTATTTTCAGGAGTTTCTCTAAATTCAGATGGAAGGATAAGAGTACGTGGAGACCAGGAAAGAGTGTGGCTTTGGTTAGTTAGTTTTATGGAGGGGAAGGGCTTTTACCTTTTTTTACTTGCAATTATATTTACCAGTAGACCTAGTGGACCAGGCTCCTCTGTTTAATCTATTTGCAATGTGAGGATTGACTTGGAAAACTTGTAGGACTTGCTGGTTTGCCTCTGCATGCAGCCGCAGGACTGGGAACAGACATAAAATATATAGATATAGGAGTGATGGTCCCACTCAACTGCTCCTTAAGATGCTATGGAGAAAAAGAATGCACGATTGCCCATAAAAATTAAAAAGTAGTTCAGGTCTCAGAAAACAACTACTGGATCTTGGGCTAAATTAGACTTTACTTGTTCTGTTCCTTTCTATGAAAAGACCCTTGAAAGAACCCAAGAAAATATTTAATTAAAATGGTTTTTAAAAAAATAAAAGACCCTTGAAATGTTGTGTTGTGTTGTGTTGTGTTGTGTTGTGTTGTGTTGTGTTGTGTTGTGTTGTGTTGTGTTGTGTTGTGTTGTGTTGGGACACCATTGTCCTCAGGCCCATGATTGGTTGCTGGAGGGGTGGGCATCCTCAAATCTGATTACTCACATTCCCACCCTATGCAATGGTTGTTCTGAGATTCAAATAGCAATCTCAGATAAGTGATAACAGTATTTTATGGGGAAAGTGCCTACAAAAATGCTTATTTTAGGGGAAATGCATTGGGGAAATGCAAGTATATCAATAATAGTATTTTCAGAGAAAGTGTATTCTGTGAATGCATTCCCCCCCCCTACTTCTGAGTAGATTCAGACCTGTTAGTTGTTACAACATACATGTTTGTACTACAACTGAAGTACACAGTTTTTGCACAAGTGTTTACTGAACTTCACATAAATTAACTATAATGATCTACAAGATGGGCCAGTGGCTGTGATTGGTGGCTAAGATAAGGGGGTTTGCTGTGGTCACATAGCTGAGATTTCCTCTAGCTCCAAGCTCACATTCTCAGCTCTCCTGGAAAGAAAGAAAGAAAAATATGGATGAGACATTCCAGCAAATGTTTGCCATGCTCGCACTTAAAGAAACAGGAAATAATTAATTTCCTGGTTGGACTAGATGATCCTCCAACTCTACAAAGCTATGATTCTGTGAAATACAGCAGCACTTTGGTAGGGATTGATAGCGACCAGCAACCATTGGCCATAGCTCAGTGACAGATCACATCCTTGGCATCAAAGATTGAGATTGAATCCCGACAAGACAGAAGTACTGTTTTTGGGGGACAGGGGGCGGGCAGGTGCGGAGGATTCCCTGGTCCTGAATGGGGTAACTGTGCCCCTGAAGGACCAGGTGCGCAGTCTGGGAGTCATTTTGGACTCGCAGCTGTCCATGGAGGGACAGGTCAAATCCATGTCCATGGCAGCTGTTTACCAGCTCCATCTGGTACGCAGGCTGAGACCCTATCTGCCTGTGGACTGCCTCACCAGAGTGGTGCATGCTCTGGTTATCTCCCGCTTGGACTACTGCAATGCGCTCTACGTGGGGCTACCTTTGAAGGTGACCCAGAAACTACAACTAATCCAGAACGCGGCAGCCAGACTGGTGACTGGGAGTGGCCACCGAGACCATATAACACCGGTCTTGAAAGACCTACAATGGCTCCCAGTACGTTTCCGAGCACAATTCAAAGTGTTGGTGCTAACCTTTAAAGCCCTAAACGGCCTCGGTCCAGTATATCTGAAGGAGTGTCTCCACCCCCATCGTTCTACCCGGACACTGAGGTCCAGCACCGAGGGCCTTCTGGTGGTTCCCTCACTGCAAGAAGCCAAGTTACAGGGAACCAGGCAGAGGGCCTTCTCGGTAGTGGCACCCGCCCTGTGGAAGGCCCTCCCACCAGATGTCAAAGAGAACAACTACCAGACTTTTAGAAGACATCTGAAGGCAGCCCTGTTTAGGAAAGCTTTTAATGTTTGATGTATTACAGTATTTTAATATTTTTTTGGAAGCCTCACAGAGTGGCTGGGGAAGCCCAGCCAGATGGGCGGGGTATTCTTATTCTTATTCTTATTCTTATTCTTATTCTTATTCTTATTCTTACCAGTTTTAAAAGGCTCTCACGTAGTACCATTAGAAAAGATCATTTGCCTGAGATCTTATAGATCTGCTGCCAGTCCAAATAAACAGCCCTAGACAAGATGGAGTTCTGTCTAACAAAACATGACTATCTTATATCTTTGGGACCTGTTCAATTCAGTGTCTGGTACAGACTGGCACTATTAAGGACATCCGCACACCTTCTTTAATGCACAGAAATACTGTATGGTACATCAGCCGCCCTTCAGGAGGGTGGCTGTGGAAATACTGCTATTGTGAAAGAACTGGAAATGTTTGCGTTTTCCAGCCCGGTGTCAGAGAGTGAGCCTTGGGGTTGCCATGGAAACCTTTCATGCCACCACTGCAAAAGATGTGAAATCCATAATGTGCAACTGCCTGGCTCTTTGATTTGGTGTTTCTGGGGGAGAGAACATGTACAATATTGTGTGTGGAGTGTGGGGGGGGGAGAGGAGACCTAGACTACATTCAGTAATAAAACTGATGCAGACAGATGGCAACATGGAGATGGGTCAAGAGAAATCAATCTCAGTAACAAAGGTAATGAACAATTCTCCCTTCCAATATTACTGAAGAAGATTCTGATAAACAAAAAATGTGGGAGAAATCGCTTTGGAAGTGTCTGTCATTGCCTTCCTACATCTATATACACTTCTGAGTGAAAAAAGAAGGCTGTGAAGCATAAATTTCTAATCACAGAAAGGGGAAATGAAGAATATCCATTAATGTAACAAGCAGATTCTCATTTTTCATTTGCTGTTATTGCTAACTAAAATACACCACCCCAAACTCCAAGAGGTGCTTACCAAGGTCTTTGATTCCTTTTGGGAACATTGAGGCACAGTGGAGCCTATGGTTGACCACCTGACAAGTTGTATCATTATAACCCTGGGGTCACCAGCCCAGTGCCTGCGAGCACCATGACACGGGTGCCCCAAACCCAGACTCTGAGCTTTCAATAAAAAGTACCTAGCTCTCCTAGAAAGAAAGATATGGAACAGAAAGTGCAGGTCCCTTCTAAGCAATTTCTGTGAAATGGGAACTGGAACCGAGGAGTGTTCCCTGTTGTTATTAGGTGGTGACAGCATCGCTGTGGTGGGTGCATGTAAAATCAGGAACAGCAGGACATAGCTGACTTCCTGTGGTTAGCACGAAGTTGTTGCGGGTGGTTGATTTTCTAATTCTGTGAGTGCCACACCTCACATGGCAGCCATTTTGTGACTGGCACCCCCGGTATTCTTTCAAAATTCAAAATGTCCCCACTACTTCAAAAAGGACACACAGTACAGTGGTACCTCGGGTTACAGATGCTTCAGGTTACAGACTCCGCTAACCCAGAAATAGTACCTCGGGTTAAGAACTTTGCTTCAGGATGAGAACAGAAATCGTGCAGTGGCAGTGGGAGGCCCCATTAGCTAAAGTGGTACCTCAGGTTAAGAACAGTTTCAGGTTAAGAACGGACCTCCAGAACAAATTACGTTCTTAACCCGAGGTACCACTGTACTAGATAGTCATCGTACTGTGAACTGGATAGTTCACAGGTAATGATCACACACAAACATCGGTATGAATTGTTTTCTGTGAAATGATGGATCTTTTATTATAAACTAGTTGGAGTTTCCTGTTCCATAAACATTTCAGACAGGGATCTCTGGGAGGGGCCCATTCTCATTGGTCGCTGTTTAATATACAGTATAGCCTATATTTTCAAACAAGGCCAGAAACCCCTGGCTAACGTCTTTTCCCCACCCCAGTTTGTGGCTATTTGATAATCTAGAAGATGCATATGAATCACATACGTATCTGTTGTTTGGCTCTTGTACATATCTCCGCTGAACCAAACAACATACAAATGTCATTTAGATATTACAGTTTTACTGGTGTAGGTGTCGCTTTCAGCAGCTGGTCACAGGGAACGAATTCCCAAGGTACTGCTCCAAGAAGCTAAACTAGGGCAGGAAGGGCAAAGTTCCTGGAAAAGCCCTACCTTCAACTGGGGGCTATTGTGTAATGTCCTTCCTTTTCAATTCCTCCCTTCCTTAATCTAGGAGAGCATTCACAATAAGATGCTTATCAGGTCAGGTAATCACATCCACAGCTGTTTCCTGCTTTGTCAAAACCAGTCTGAAGACGAGGAAAAATAAGAATCTCATCCAGCTGAAGAAATAGACACAAAAGGCATACATTGGGTGAAGAAAAAAAGCAAGAAGACTATATGTCTTTCCAATCACACTGATGTTAACACTCAGCTAAAGGAACTCCTTGTTCCAGTTTGCTTTGGATATTGCCTGAAATATGAACCGTCCTTTAAAAAAATATTTGTGGTTGATTTTGAAGAAAAAGTACAACAAAAAGAGCTGTGTACAATAGTGTATGCGGACGCAGGTGGCGCTGCAGTCTAAACCACAGAGCCTAGGGCTTGCCGATCGGAAGGTTGGCAGTTCGAATCCCCCGACGGGGGTGACCTCCTGCCAACCTAGCAGTTTGAAAGCACGTCAAAGTGCAACTAGATAAATAGGTATCGCTCCGGCGGGAAGGTAAACAGCATTTCGGTGCGCTGCTCTGGTTCGCCAGAAGCGGCTCAGTCATACTGGCCACATGACCCGGAAGCTGTCCACGGACAAACGCCAGCTCTCTCGGCCTATAGAGCGAGATGAGCACTGCAACCCCAGAGTCGTCCGCGACTGGACCTAAAGGTCAGGGGTCCCTTTACCTTTACCTTTTACAATACAGGGTATTTCTGCATGTTCAGACTGTTATAGGACAGCAACTCATATGTGTCCATGCATCTGGAACATCTGAGTGTGTCCAGGTCCAACAGCAAACAATCCCCCAAAAATGGGTAGCAGGGTGCCATGTGAGGAATATTGGCTTGTATGCCAACTGCACTCTTCATAACAATAGTGCTTCAAGGATAGCTGCAGGGCCCTGGAGGTTCTCACCAGCTGTCTCTTGTCACAGCCAGCAGGAAGGCTGTCTCAGTCTCTGCACCCAAGTCAGGTTCCTCACCACCCCCACCTAGTGCTATGGCAGCTCTTGTAACAGTTGTGTCCTGATATGTGTTTGGATCTTTGACTAAGAATCATGGTGCACCATAATGATGTTTGGTGTTATGTACTGAGCTGAATCCTAGAAGAATAGGTTCCAGAATGCAGCAGTCTGATTGGTCTGCAGGAGCCACCCAATCCAACTCCAGGTGGAAGTGAATCAGCGACCTGATTGGCCTGCAGGAGCAGCCAATCAGGATTCTGGAGAAAGTGAATCCGCAACCTGATTGGCCTACAGGAGCAGCCCGGAATTAACCAATCACGCAGGGCCCATTGTGTAAATAATGTATATACAGTGGTACCTCGGGTTAAGTACTTAATTTGTTCCGGAGGTCCGTACTTAACCTGAAACTGTTCTTAACCTGAAGCACCACTTTATCTAATGGGGCCTCCCACTGCTGCCGCGCTGCCGGAGCACAATTTCTGTTCTCATCCTGAATGAAAGTTCTTAACCTGAAGCACTATTTCTGGCTTAGCAGAGTCTGTAACCTGAAGCGTATGTAACCTGAAGCGTATGTAACCCGAGGAACCACTGTATAGCTAGACATTCTGGGGAAAGTTTCATTCATTGCTACTACGAGCTGAATAAAGATCATGAAATTCACACTCGACTCCGAGTATATTTCAGTTGGGTTGCCTGATAGAGGGGAAATCAACAAAACAAAGTCTAGAATAACAAAATAGGTTGTAAACCAGACGTCTTCATCTGCCCCACTTACAATAAAACATTTCTCTTCCATGTCGGTCTCCACAGCCACAGCAGGTGCTCTAGCTCTCCAATGGTTTAAATCCGCCCCCCCCCCCCGGCGCTCTCTTCCCTCATATCTCAAGACAGACAGATCCCAACAACATCATTTATTTCCAATCTGTAAGAAGGACCCAACTTGTATTACAATAATATAGTGGAGGAACCGTGTTTCACAATAGAGAAACATGCAGCTTATCTGCATTATTAAACAACAGCTATTACTGCTATATCTGAGACAAGCTGCAATGACCTGTGTTAATAGGGATCGGTTGGCATCTGTCTGCCTCGGGAGACATCGATCCTCAGGAATCCATTGGTGCATGAGTACAGTCAGACAAGACTGTCTTGGAATTTGTCAGGTGATGTTCTCCTGTGTAAACATAAGGAGAGAGTACACGTTTCGGATTTTGCTTGGATGGCTCCAAAGAATTTTTCAGTTCCTTTCTACATAGGTGGTAGACAGCAGCGTCCAAGGTGAAGTGTGTGTGCGTGTGTGCGCGCGCATGCACACGTAATAGAATGGTAGAGAACTGTAGAATTGTACAATTGGAAGGGACCCTGGGGATCGTCTAGTCCAGGGGTCTGCAACCTTTAAGACAAAAAGAGCCACTTGGACCCGTTTCCGAAGAGAAAAAAACCTGGGAGCCGCAAAACCGGGAAGGTGACGTCGGGACAGTGCGTGACTAACGCACGCACCGCCCCCATGCGACATCACAGCCAGTACAGCGCCCGCCACAGTGGGGAGTGTCGGGGCGCACAATGCGCCTCCTCCCCTCGCTAGTATCCGCCCCGGAGCCACAGCAAAGGTGTAAAAGAGCCACATGCGGCTCCGGAGCCGCGGGTTGCAGACCCCTGCTCTAACCAACTGAGCTATCCATAGCATGCGAAAGAATCAGTGTAAAAGAATGAAAGCTGGTGCAGTTGGTGTCAGTGGGTACAATCTATTCCCGAGAGAGAGGGGGGGGGAAAACATTACACAGAGAACAGTACACTCTTCCATAATCATGGAGATGGAGGAGAAATGCAAATTGACATTCAGATGTATTTTATTGGCAGGAAGAATTTTTCTCTTCTCTTCTCTTCTCTTCTCTCTCTTCTCTTCTCTTCTCTTCCCTATACCCGAAGGTCTCAGGGCGGTTCACATAAAATACCAAATACATAAAATCAAACAAAACCAACAACCCAATAAAAAAACCTCAAAAGAGCCAGCCTTTTTTAAAAAGGGTATAGGATATATATCAAGTCAGGCAAAGGCCTGGTTGAAAAGAAACGTTTTTGCCTGGAGCCTAAAAGTGTATAGTGAAGGCGCCAGGCAAACTTCCCTGTGGAGAGCATTCCACAGACGGGGAGCCACTGCAGAGAAGGGCCCGTTCTCGTGTTGCCACCCTCTTGACCTCTCGTGGAGGAGGCACACGAAGAAGGGCCTCAGAAGGTGATCTCAGGGTCTGGGTAGGTTCATATGGAAAGAGATGGTCCTTGAGGTATTGCAGTCCTTTAAGGCTTTAAAGAGATCACACTCTTTACCATTTTATGAAGGGGAAGGAACAACACAAGTCCAGTTCAGACATGCAGCTTTCCCCATGTTCTAATGATCATGGGAATTAGGGATGTGTGTGACCCAGTTATTCACATGTACAGTCTTACACACTGTTGTAACCATTTCTACTGTTGGAAATGGCACCTACTTTACCCGGTTTGCCGCAATAAAGATTTTCTCAGACGCAGTGAGAGAAATTCTGAAAGTATGTGTGTCCCTTTCCAATGTGGAAAACCATTAGTACGCCATGGAGAGCAAAGGAACCCACTCCTAGGCACTGCCATTCAAATGGTGTGCATGCCCTATAACAGGGGTCAGCAACCTTTTTCAGCTGTGGTCCACCGTCCCTCAGACCATGTGGTGCGCCGGACTATATTTGGGGGGGGGGGCGGGGGGGAATGAACAAATTCCTATGCCCCACAAATAACCCAGAGGTGCATTTTAAATAAAAGCACACATTCTATTCATGTATAAACACCAGGCAGGCCCCATAAATAACCCAGAGATGCATTTTAAATAAAAGCACACATTCTATTCATGTAAAAACACACTGATACCCAGACCATCCACAGGCTGGATTGAGAAGGCGATTGAGCCGCATCTGGCCCCTGGGCCTTAGGTTGCCTAGGTAAAGGTAAAGGGACCCCTGACCATTAGGTCCAGTCGTGGCTGACTCTGGGGTTGTGGTGCTCATCTCGCTCTATAGGCCGAGGGAGCCGGCGTACAGCTTCTGGGTCATGTGGCCAGCATGACTGAGTCGCTTCTGGCGAACCAGAGCAGCACACGGAAACGCCGTTTACCCTCCCGCCAGAGCGGTACCTATTTATCTACTTGCACTTTGACGTGCTTTTGAACTGCTAGGTTGGCAGGAGCTGGGACCGAGCAACGGGAAGCTCACCCCGTCACGGGGATTCGAACCACCGACCTTCTGATCGGCAAGTCCTAGGCTCTGTGGTTGCCTACCCCTGCCCTATATCTTGTGACTGATTACGCAGGGAAGAGCTTACCCGCCTCCCTATTTTATTCAGGTGGCACCCCTGATGGAGATGGATGGTTCTGGGAGCCATTGACTAGGACTGGAACTTCCGCAGGTCTTGCGCTGACCCAGGAATTATATGCAGCACATGGAGTCAGGCTGGCAACAGCATCCATTTGATACCTGCTGAGAGCTGGTTTTGTGAAGTCCTCTGTAGTATCACATTAGTTCTCTGGAATACTGGCTCTTCTTGACAACTTCACCATGCCCCGAAGCCCAAGGAAGCTTTGTCACAATAAACCCGGTTCAGTTTCCCTTCGACATCCTCATTTGATCTGTGAGGCAAAAGAGGAGGAGCATTAGAAAGCCACCTGAATTTGCAAAGGATGCTAAACAGGATGCTGCAAACAGCATTTAGAACAAAAAGGAGAGAGGGAGATAAATTTAAAGGACGCAGCACTGTGCTGACCTAGCAAACACAGGTCACCTCTGGGAAGGAAATAGCAAATGAGATGAATTCTAGGAAAGTGTGATATTGTCCATCTGGAGAATAAATTGCAGAGAGAGAGAGACGTTTGCATCCTTCTCTGGTTCCCCTCCGCTTTCCTAATTCATTCACCCTCCCTATTCACTCTTAATCAGATGTAAGAGTTTGATTTGTGTTGGCATCTAGCAAACCAAACAGAAAAGATTTGAAACGTAAGAAATTTGTTCCTCTTAAGAACCTTGTTCCTCCTCAACTGTTATTACCGTAATTAATTTACTTATTTAAAATGGATGTTTTAAAAGGTCTTAAATTATATGTTTATTGGTTATGTTTTGATGACTACAGCCATACCTCAGGATATATGTGCTTCAAGTTAAGTATTTTCAGGTTGCGCTCCGCAGCAACCCAGAAGTAACAGAGTGCGTTACTTCCGGGTTTCGCCGTGCGCACATGCGCAGATGGTCAAAATGATGTCACGCGCATGCATGGAAGCGGCGAAATGTGACCCACGCACGCGCAGGTGCGGGTTGCATTTCGCTTCAGGATGCGAACGGGGGCTCCGGAACGGATCCTGTTCGCATCCCAAGGCACCACTGTATTTTAGAAGCTATTTTGTAAAGTACGGCTCTTGTGAAGTGGCTGGTGAATGTGTTAAACTGCTGGGGGTCCCTACTTCCTCCGCTTGCCAACCCCCAAACCCCTGCCTCCCCCAGGACCACAATCTCCTTTCCCCCAAAATGGATGTTTCTTTTCAGGACGACATCTTCTCTTCTCCTACCTCCTTTTCCCTCCCCAGGACCACCACAGATTCTTTCTTCCTCAGCTTCCAAACTCACAAACAGGTCCCATTCCTGAGACCACCTTATTTCCTATCCACAGCTGCTCCCCAGAACGATGATGTCACCCCCCTCCCTCTGAGCCTCTCCTTCCCACGTTTTCTCCTGAGAAGCCCCATTCAGGTTCTGACTTGATTCTGAAAAGGTCACTCCATGGGCCTCTTCTGCCGCCTAGTGGTCCAGACTGTCATCACAGCATGATGACGAACTTCAGTAAACGCAGTATAAATAGGGAGAGATAAATATCATAGGAATACAGCCCAACAATGAAAACAGAACAGCAGGGAGAGACAGATAGTGCCACCGGTCAGAACTAAAACTAGAAAGCTTGAGTGAATAAAAAAAAAAGGTCTTCACCTGGTGCTGAAATGGTAACAGAGCTCCTGACAGGCTAGCCTTCTGCCGAGAGCATTCCTGAGATAGTGTGCCACAACTTAAATCGTTTTATCACCTGCCTCACTTCATGGTCCTATGATCAGGTAATGGAATGACCCCAAGAAAAACCTCTGAGGAGCACTGAATACCCTGGGCAGGCATGTATAGGAGGAGACAGTCCTTCAAAAATCCTGATTCCACACCATTTAAAGGTCAAAGTCAGCACAATGAATTAGGCCTGGAAATGGACTGTGAGCCACTGCAGCTATTTTAAAACTGGCAAGATATATCCAGGTCAGATTAATAACCTAGCTGCCATACTTTGCACTAACTGTAGCCTCTGAATTGCAGTTTCTTTAAAGATGGCCCCACAAGTATTGCAATAGAGTCATACCTCATGTTACATCCGCTTCATGTTACGTTCTTTCAGGTTACGTCCCGCAGCAACCCGGAAGTACCGGAAAGGGTTATTTCAGAGTTTTGCCACTCGCACATGCGCAGAAGTGGCAAATCACAACCTGCTCGTGCGCAGACGTGCCGCTGCGGGTTGCACTCTTTTCATGTTATGAACGGGCCTCCGGAATGGATCCCGTTCACAACCAGAGGTACCACTGTATTACAAATGGTATATTACCATAATATGATAAACTATGTCTCAAGCTGTCTCTGACTCTCTAGGAGAAACCACAAGGGACACACCTGCCTCAGTTGGTGAAGGGTGCTTCAGTCCACTGAGGCCATTCGGATCAAGCTAAGGTTGGCTCTAACCACATCCCTAGGCTGAAGAAATGGTCCATGCACCTGCAGAAGAGCAAAACACCATCTTCCAAGTCAGATGAACCGCCAACCAACATCTTGTCAAGACATAGCAACTTGTCAAGACATAAAAGGTAAAGGGACCCCTGACCATTAGGTCCAGTCGTGGCCGACTCTGGGGTTGCGGCGCTCATCTCACTTTACTGGCCAAGGGAGCCGGCGTACAGCTTCCGGGTCATGTGGTCAGCATGACTAAGCTGCTTCTGGCGAACCAGAGCAGTGCACAGAAACGCCATTTACCTTCCCGCCAGAGCGGTACCTATTTATCTACTTGCACTTTGACATGCTTTCGAACTGCTAGGTTGGCAGGAGCAGGGACCAAGCAACAGGAGCTCACCCTGTCACGGGGATTTGAACCGCCAACCTGATCAGCAAGTCCTAGGCTCTGTGGTTTAACCCACAACGCCACCCACGTCCCATTGTCAAGACACAGCTTCAGTTTATTAGTCTTTATGCAGAGGCATTACAGGGATACAGCTTCACCTGGGTTTAAACAAAAGGGGAAAGGATTTGGGCATCCTCAACTAAAACCTGATGATACCTCAACTCAAACATCTGGAGGACCACAGTGGCTGTAGATGTTGAACAGCAAGGGGGACAAAGCAGAGCTGTGCTACACAGCGTCACTGCCATGGACCAGAGCAGCAATCTCCCATTCAGTGATCTTGACCCAAATAAATATATTTGTGAACAGAATAATACTGAAGATCCAGGTGGGTGGGTGGGTGCGTGGGTGTGGGTGTTTTCTAAGGAACAGTCTCACAACTCTCTTTAGAAAGGTATTTATTACCTCTGATTGGCTCATGAAAAGTTAAATGATGTCTTTGCACAGCGGAGAGAGACCTTCTTCCAGAGTCTCACATTCCTCCAACATGTTAGTTATCCACAACCAGTGTGTTGCTACATACCTAAAAGATTTGTGGCATGGACCTATGGGTATACAGTGGTGCCTCGCAAGACGAAATTAATCCGTTCCGCAAGTCTCTTCGTCTTGTGGTTTTTTCGTCTTGGCTATTAGCGGCTTAGCGGCTATTAGCGGCTTAGCGGCTATTAACGGCTTAGCGGCTTTAAGAAAAAGGAAACAAACTCGCAAGAACTCACAAGACGTTTCGTCTTGCGAAGCAAGCCCATAGGGAAATTCGTCTTGCGGAACGACTCAAAAAACAGAAAACTCTTTCGTCTTGCGAGTTTTTCGTCTTGTGAGGCATTCGTCTTGCGGGGCACCACTGTAAATTGGCATAACATTTTCTAATCTGCCTGTGCAGATGAAAACTTGGAAAACATTTACATGAACTTTTGTGCCACTGTGTTTGCAGACATGCTACAGTTCATCCTTCTCCTCACTGCCAAGGAGACAGGGAGGCTTCCAATAATTTAAACTGCATTCACACAGAAACTGCCCAACATGTTTCCCAGCAGTCTAGCTGACCAGCATATATGAGCAAATACTGTATTATTAGAGAAATTAGGACTGAGTAAAAAAAATAAATGTTAAAACTTTTTGAAGGTTTTTCTCCTTTGAGCCTTTCTCTCCTGCAGAATACTGTGGATTTTGGATAGAACTTTGGATCTGGTGTTAATCCTTTGCATAGCTGTATTTGAACCAAAGTACACAAGTCGGTTTACAACTTCATACCCTCCAACATTCCTCAGATGAAAATAGGGACATTCTATTCTACAGCAGTATCACTCCTTGAGCATTTCCTCCTGGTCAAGTACAAAAGTTATTAGAGGAAGTGGCAGTGTTTTAAGCACTTAAATCTTTGAATTTTTGTATTGCCTTCACGTGCAGGGTGGTATGCAAATTTAATTAATAATAATAATTTCTACACAATGCAGTGGGATTTTATTTCATATTGTTTAGTTTCAGATATATATGTATCTCTCCCCGTGCCATCTAGAGAAATACGGCTGTCATGATTTTCGATTGCGTGTTATTAATATTTTTTAGGCTTTGCATGCCCTTGCCTGTAGTTGGATATATTGTATTATTGAATTTTTCTTATTGTTTCTTTTTCTCTGCAGTTCTATGATAATTTATAAATTATTAACAAATGATAATGATAATAATACAAAAATTTGAAAACAGACACATTTGGGCAAAGGTAAAGGTAAAGGTACCCCTGACCATTAAGTCCCAGTCGCGGACGACTCTGGGGTTAACAAAGGGGCAGTCCATTCTGTACTGAGCACCGGATGTTAGCTCAGTGTGTGTGTCATATGACCCGTACTGGAAGTACATGGGTGGAGTTTCTTCTAGCTGTTGTCAAGTGCAGACATGTTTCTCTGTACTGATATAAGAGGCAGAAATAAAGGATGTAAATAGTTTTCTGTCTGCTTCTTTCCCCTCCCTGGGGGACACCAAAGGGGAGAGAGGAAGAACGGTGTGTTCCTCTCACACATCTGAGAAGAATCGCCGGGACCTCGCCTGCTTATCAGCAGAGTGGAGACGCGGGGAGGTCGACAGGAATATCTGCCGGTGCCTACGCTGTGGCACATCCCTCTGACCCAGGCAGAATTCCAACAGCGCGCTCATCTTGCTCTATAGGCTGAGGGAGCCAGCGTTTGTCTGCAGACAGCTTCTGGGTCATGTGGCCAGCATGACTAAGCCGCTTCTGGCAAACTAGAGCAGCGCATGGAAACGCCGTTTACCTTCCCGCCCATTTATCTGCTTGCACTTTGACGTGCTTTCGAACTGCTAGGTTGGCAGGAGCAGGGACCGAGCAATGGGAGCTCACCCCGTCGCGGGGATTCGAACCGCAGACCTTTTGATCGGCAAGCCCTTGGCTCTGTGGTTTAACATACAGCGCCACCCGCGTCCCTGGGCAAAAGTACTTCTCCTTATTATGCCACTGCAAATTCTGCTCTCCATGATGCAGTTTAACCCCCTGGGACACTTGCCAGCAGGAAAGCAGAGGACTTGAAGGCACTCACGCTTCACTCCCTCGCAAGCTGAAAAGACGTGGCCATTGGAATCTGGGGAAAGAGATGGAATTGGCCAAAGGAAAAACCACAAGCGCCAGTTCAAATAGTGGGCCGATTTTGTGGATCCCGTGCAGAGAGACTGTCTCCTCCTGCTGCTGCCTGGTGGGGGGAAGGAAATGCGGGAGTGGGGAGGAATGCAACACTCACTCCGCTCCACCCCACTGCAAATTCCCCCCTCCCGTTCCATGTTGTTAAGTTGTGGGTGAACATATCAGACGACACAGCGATTCTTCAAACAGCTCTTCTTTATTCACAGGCCAGAACAGAACTGAACTGAAGGGTTCAGCCAGCCTGCTTATATAGAGCTCCACTGCAACGCAACAGTAACCACTTTCTGTAACTATCCAATCACTGAAAGTCACTTTCAATCCCTTATTTGCATATGTGGACCTGAGTGAAAACTATCTACAGTATCCCCCTGCTGGCCCAGGGTGAGAACTTCAATACATAACACATGTCATCATTTATAATCTCCCAGACTGAACAAAAGGGTCTTTTTTCCAGTAGGTAAAAAGAAAGGTGGTTGTGGGGTAAGCAGGAAAGCAGGAAAAGGCTCCTCTTGCCTTCTTCCTCTCTGTCCCCCCAAAACAAGCCTCACCTCACATCTGATAAAGGAACTCATCAGGATCGGGGCCCCAGCAGCCTGAAAAGAAGGAAGGTGTGAGGGTGCGGTGGGGCAGGGCCTTGAATGGGTGTGGCCCCCGTATTCCTCTCTCCACCTCCACCAGCAGCCTTTCGGTGGCGGGGATGGGGGGGGACAATTAATAAATGAGCACCAGTCCCACATGGAGTCTGGCTCGGCTCGCTTTTATGTTTTTTTGCTACAGCTGAGCGTGGAAGCACCACAGCCAAACAGAACGCAAAGATGGAGAGGAAAGAAAAATGCTCGCTGTAGAACACAAGGTAGCCAAGAGGTAGGGGAAACCGGGG